AAATGTCATATCGAATCGACAGTGTTTTATAAACAAATTTCTAAAAAAATAATCATCATTCATGCACTTTAAAGAATGTTATTGATTAAAATATAATAAAAAAATACAAACTCGTCGATAAGAGTCCTATCCTATTTCTACTAATATTTTTTCAACCATCAGAGCATAGTGAGTGTCGATTTTCAGTTAAATTTTTTATCTTAAATTCATACTTTTTTTTATTTTTTAGGGTTAAAAGTTTGCAGAATTCACTGCCAAATATTTGTGATAGGAAAGTACTTATGTAAGCAGTATAACAAATTCTATCAATTTGTATTGTTTAGAAACCAATTGAACGTAAACAAGTAAACTTTTTTCATTCAAAATCGTTGTTCTTCCGACGTCTATTTTCTTTTTAATAGGAAATGCGTTTTTTTAACGTACATTAACTTTTGGGATTGACTGTATAGTCAATACATCCTTAATAGAATAAATTTACAGATTTTGGCGAATGAATTATTCTAGTTGATTAGAGAAATAGATTTAAAACGTCGAATCCGCGATTGGGAAGCCTTTTATTTGTAATTGAAGGACGAAGCGAAGCCCACTGCGACCGCCGGAAATTGTCTTGGACCAGAACGCGTTCCGCGTTCCGACGATCGATGGAGCGCTCTCTAGGTACCTCCTAACTACGTAGTCCGAAATCGACTCGCCGTGTCATCGGGGATCAATGAACCCCCTCCGATATCGTCAAACTAAGATGGAGTACCTGAATTATTTCGGTTACGGAACATTCCCTCAATTGATTAACCCAATTTCCAATGCTATGCAAAATAATCCCCAGTTACCCATTTTCGCTATCACATATCCCACGGACAACAGTTTTTCGAAACATCCGAACAAACCTTCATGAACCCAATATCTTTCTTATAGCAAAATATGCATCACTAAGAGAATTGAGAAGTATAATGATCATCAACAAGCGCAGATACTAGAAACACTGTTTTCAATTTTTGCCTGTTATTCACACGCAAGCCGGTGGAACCGGAATTCCAAGGGAAACAGCGATCCCAAAAAAAGCATTCACAACGAGACGGCCATACTCGATTGTACCTGTCCAGCCGGGCATGATACTTTCCAAAATACCAGGGAGAACCACGACGTGACGATCCCCTCGGAGTTGCTAAAAATTCGCCGCTCACAGGCCGCACAATATTCCCCGGATACTTGTTCCATGCGGGGAATACCAAAGTGGCCGTGCACGAGCGTTGAATTCCCGGTAGCTGGGGAATATCGAGAAACGAGCCTCCTCTCTGCCGCCAATGCTTGCTCGCTCGCTAGCTGGCTGCCCGGTTTTCAGCCGCGCGGCGCACAGGCAAGCCCGGATCGTAAATTGGCGAACGAGGGACAGAGACGCGAGCGGAGACGACGAATAAGAAGAAGAAAGTCTTCGTCTTCGGTCAGCGAGAGAGAAACGAGACGACAGAGAGACCATGGAGGAAGGGATGCTGAAGAGGAGAGCCAGTGGCGGCTGCGGCCCATCGATTTCTCGACCGGCGTTACGCTCCCTCTGATCGGGAAAAAGTTGCCACCGGACAGTCCGCTGCGACTGCTTAAAGGCGAGGGAAAAAGGTTCTCGTTGGGCGGGTTATCGTCGATTGCAGCGTTCCTCTATTTGTGAACAGAGTGAGACTATAAACGATGTAAGAAATCGTTTATTGATTTTCAAAAATCAATATATGCGGATATCTTTAATTTTGCGCGTATGTACGACCTATATTTAATATAATAATAATAATTTAAACCGTATACAAATACCTCTACAAAGCGGATCTACGTAAACTAAAAGAAGGGTTGATGAATACTGTATGAATACTAGGATCGAATATTGCGTTTGTTGTTTTATGTATTTTCTGCTTATCACTTCACATCATACGCAAAATTCTTTAAAATTCCATAACAGAGTCAGTTTTATTCTGTTGATTGAGTTATGCCGTTGCACAATCGAGGAACACATTGTTCGGAAAAATCGATTAGAGAACGTAATGTTTGTTAATCGAAAAATATTCATCGAGATCAAAAGACATAAAAGGTATGCAGGCAATTAATTATTAGCCGTTTATAATCAGGTCGTAATCAATAAGTTATAATTACTCGCGTTCATATCTCGTACTTTATATTCTACTGCTGGATTCAATTTAATATTATTGCAATAGAAAGAAATACGTCTGAACAATGTTATAAATACTTTAATATTAAATTAATACTTGATTCAACTTTTTTCTACCTAATGATTTTATAAATGGCAAATCTAACTACACCATTTTAAATACACCCTTTCACTCAATTCTCGTCGTTCTTTCATCTATGTAGTTGCAATCATAGATTGTCTTCACGCATTCATACCCATACCTCATATCACACAGCAGAACATATTGTGTATATTTCGGAGAATGCTTCAGCGACCCGAAAGAACGCGAAAGGGTGGAAAGAAAAATGGAGGCCACCGCGAACACCACTGGGCCAGCATGCAACAATAACATGGAAATAGATACAGGGGACGCGTATCTCGTATATCTTGCACGAAAAGTTTATACGTTATTGCCGAGCATAGTGACCCAGACACGGGTATGAAACTTTCCCCTCGTGCGGTGCATGCGGGAAAACATTCTACCCCTTTTGTGATTGAATATGCGTTACGTGATCGATCATCACCGATCATTCAGGGGCTATTGATTTTCTCATAAAGAACGTTTCAAAGAAAATGTTGGTATTTTACCTTTTTAGGAATTAAATTTGTTAGATACGGGATATTACGGGTGAAAACGTTTTCCCACGTTTGACAAAAAATTGAAAACTTTAAAATCGTTCACACAGATATTGCGGACAGAGATATTACACGCGACAATTCCCCGTTTCCAGAGCAAACGATGAGCTGAATTTTATACGTACAATATTTACGTATGATAAAATTTACCGCGTTTGTTGCACACAATGAGAACTTCATCGAATGAACCGAGAATTATTTACTGATAGACGTACACAATAACTCCGTCGCTGATTATTTGCATAATGATTTATATATTGTTTATTCATTTGGACCGTTTAATCAAAACCGTGAGTATTTGCCGATTTTTGTCCTTTATTTATTATTAACCAATCAATCCAGTTTCAATGTTTGTATATCGATTTGACGCGTAAAATAATCTTGGAACGAAGAAACTTGCAATTGACACAAATCAGAGTATATCAGAGTATAATTAACAAACAACTGATATTCCTGCATGTCCAGAATATTAATACTATTTCTACCAAGCGCTGTATTTGGACATTTTCGTCTAAAATTATTATCATTAGATTTTCCTCGATTTAATTAATTAATTTAACAACCAATATAGTAAAACTTAAGAATTTAATTGAGGAGAAAGTATTAAATTAGAAATAATAATTTTAAGCAAAAATTTTACAAGTTGTATTTTGACATCGGTAGAAACAGTGTGAATAAATGGGTATTGTTTTATTCTATATCGTGTGGAAAACGGGGATTTCCCGAAAAACTAACACTGAAAAAATGTTTCTAATAATTGGTGAAAAAATTCGCGTCCAGGTCGAGACCGATCCATCAATAAACGGCGGAAACGATATTATTTCGCAGTGCTATCGATGCACGCATTGATCGAATACTCGTCCGGCGCAGGTGACACTGACAGGTGTCAATTTTGAAGCGACTCCTATCAAGAAACGTTACCTTTCCGTCATCGACGAAATTATGGCCGCCCCCTCTTGGCGGATCTTACCGCGGCGAAAACGCACTTATCCCACTTGTTTGAAGTATTCCTACGCGCGATGTAAATATTGTGGGGAAAAACGGTGAAGGAGGTAAATCGTGTTACGAGGGAGAGACGTGTTGACACGATATCATTTTTCGATGGATCATCGATCGCGCAGGGGTGTCTCTGTTATAGTACATTTTGTACGTAAGCGGTGTGGTTATAGTTGTAAGTGAATTACGAGTGTAAAAAATAAGACTATAAGATAAACGACTTTATATTACATTTTTCTGTAAGTTCTATTTTGACTAATAGGTCCTAATGCCCTACTGAATGAGTACTAATCTGTTAGCCGATATCTTATCTAAGCATAATTTTCCAAACCGTTCTTCCTGGTTCTCTGATCCAAAGTAGATACAAAACTGCTAAGCACAAAAGAGGAAGTGGCTCATTATCCACGACCTCGAGTTATCTTTCATATCGCTATCAAACAGCTGTATCCTCTTTCTAACAAAATCTGATCAATGTCCACAAAGATTACCACGCTTGTCTGTTGTCGAAGCTCGTCTGTCACCGGTCTCGCGTCCTCTCCGCCGCATCTGCGTCAATTACGCCCCCGGTTCTTGGCCGGTTCTTCAACAGAGAACGAGAAGGCAGATGAGATAGAAGAGGGGGCGAGAGAGGAACCTGTCGAGGATATACGTGGTAACAAGGACCTCGGATCTTCATGGTTTCGCGGAGCGGAGGCAACGTTACGAGGCGCGTTTGTGTGCCGGGCGAAGTAGAAGACCGGACCGGCAGAGAAGAACGACCACAGAGGGACAGAGACGGATGGACGCGAAGCGACGGAGAGGCTGAGGGTGACAGAGATGGAACGAGGGGTGGCGGTGAACGCCAACAGCGAGAGGCGAGGCGAGGGATGCGCGGGGAACCAGAAAAAAGGGGAAAAAAGGAGACAGGTACGCGTAGAAGGAGAAATATAGAGGCAACGCTCGGAGAGCAAGACGACCAGCGTGCAGGGATCCAGGGAGAAAAAGAGAGAACGAGAGATACGGTCGCAGGAGGCGGTGGAAGCGGAGGAGGAGTAGCAATCAATACAGAGCCACCAGAGCAAAACCATCCCTCGAGTTTCATCTCTCTCTTTCTCTTACTAGCTCTCCCGCGTGCTTCGTCTCCCTTTCTCTCATCCGCTACCTCGTTTCGTTCCAACTCTCTGTCTTCGTTGGCTGCGCTTCCTATCGCGACCTCTCCATCTTTCTCTGCTTCGACCACCCTCTCTCCAATTCTGCACCCCTGACAGCCACGAATACGACGGTTATATAGATGCTATAGGGCATAGAGCGTCACTAACAGGGACTTTCGTACGCTTCCACTTTGGCTGTGTGTTGGCCCGCTCGCTCTTCTTTGTATCGCGTTCACACAAACGCGGTCCGGTTCCGACGAAAGCAGCCGATGGCTGCTGCCGCTGCCGCTACCGTTGCTGCTATCGCAGAGGAATACACGAAACTCTGTGTGTAGTTCGAGTTACCTGCGATTATGAGCGATCGTGCGTACGCCAACAGAGCCAGCTACGCTCGTGCTCGCTCTGTTTTGCGAACGTGCGAACATTTTTTAGAAAGGCGCATAGATTTTTTGGTGAAAGGAGAAGTATAAACAGAAATGATTCATTTCTACTTTTTTTCGTGTTTCACAGATTTTTTAAGAGCCATCCATTCCATAAATTAAAAATGTGTAGACGAATCAACTAGTATAATTGGGAGGCTACTATTTGATTCTAAGTCTGATCTTCGAATTGCAATTGGCATTGATGGGAATTTAATTATACATTTAAAATTATTACAGAGTGTTAGGTGTCACAATTATATCATAAATTTAAATGAATGGGTTCATTGATGCAGGCTGTTGATAATAATAATTGAATTCATTTACCCAATAACCCGTGTCATTCATAAAACAGAATTACAATGTTCACGCGATTCATCAATTAACAGAATTTGTTTACCTCCGAAGATAGATGAACCGTTATTGACCCAGAAACAACGGGATAGCTTTCTTTGACAAATCGTGCCGACCGACCGACTAAGACAGGTTGTCATTATCGCGAACAATGCGTCGTTCTTGAACCGATAATTATACGCGGCGATTCAATGGCATTGCGCATAATTCAAGGACAAAGAGAAAGGCTGTTTAGTGTGATCTATGAAATCCCCATGGACTTGGATCAGCAGGACCTTGACTTCTTCGACTTGTTGGATTTCCCGCAATGAAAAACCAGCGAGAAACGCCTCGATTATTGCATAAATGAATGAACGTAGTAGAAATGGAAAACGAGAACAAGAAACATTCAATAGATTCAGATTCTTAACAAAGAGAGTCACGCGACGCGAAATTGAAATTATATTTTATATTTATGTCACGGAACGGTTGATATTTATCTCTGTTAGCTCACAGATGATAAAAATATACTTACGATTAGTTACGAGGCCTCAACTCATAGTAAAAGCCGGCGCCATGAGGCCCCATCACACCTGAAACAGAAATACGAGGCCCCATTAATATCTCCTCGTCGAACGATCTGAGGTCCTATATCACGATTCCGGCCAATTAGAATGCAAACACGCGACCAACCATCAGGAAATCTGCATGCTAACCGAATCGTTTCCTGCCTTACTTATCCAAGTTATTACATTCCACTGTTTTAATCTGTAACAAGAACTACCGTCTTATTTGGCGAGTTATACTACCTGTCAGATAATCTCAGGATAAAGACTTGAATATATGTGCTTTATAAATCTAATCTGTAATAGACTAATTTCTTCGATTCGCGTTAAACAGAATTGTCACAAGGCATGTCGTTGAACGTCTGTTTACGTAGGACAAGCTAATATAGCATAACGTGCACACGATTATCGTCATTCATATTCACGGGCCAGTATCCATTTCTGCGGTGGGATTACAGCAGCTACCAATTCGCGGTAAATATTTATACGTATACGGTGAACGATGCTGCATACGGTGCAAGCAAGGTAAATGTTTAATTTCACCGTGTTTTGGAAGTTTCACGGTGCAAACAGGGAGAACTCCGCGTTTCACTACGAGAAACAGCACCAACTTGCGCTGATATAGGAGCCTCATCGGCGAGAAAGGGGGGGCGGGGGTGTATATCCGGGAACTGCTCGGAGCTTAAGACTGTTCTCAGTACCAAACTCCATGGTAGATAGAAAATTTTTCACTTAATTCAAATGCATACATGAAAAAACATCCTCCGTTAATCCAAGTGCGATGTATACATATGTACGCAATACCATTGACAATGACAAGAATTGTCTATCTGTAATTAAATCAGCGGACCCTTGCGGGGGACCTTAAAAATGTATTCAAACGGTCTATCAAAAGGCTAGGTTTGAACTTGCGGTGGTGGCTGTAGTTGTGTATAAAAGCGAATGGGAAGCTGCACGAAACCTCGCCGGTTTCTGTCGTCGCGAATGCCATTTTCCCATCGTCGACGAACGAAAAAGTAATACCGCAAACGAGTAAATTGATTTCGAAGTGGAAACGAGAGCGAGGAGTAATATTTGTCGAGGACCAAGCCAACGCAGACACGGAAACAAGAAAACGTCTGTGTATCGACGTTCGTTAATACGAAATCAATATTATCGGCCGCAGACTGCAGTCTCCATTTTCGACGACCATTCAAATTTCTGTCGATGAGATTTTTGACGGTGCGATAAGACCGCAGTAGAACCGTTGGTTTTTTTTAACGAAGGATAGTCTTTTAAATACGAAACCTCTCTCTGTTAAAAACTTATTTTCTGTTGCGGTTCAGTGATTCTGATTACATGACTAAAGTGTTGAAAGCATTGGAAAAATTGCAAGCTACGTAAAACGGATAATAAAAAAGACAGAACTTAAATGGATCGATCGAATGGCCATACCTGTCCTACATACAATTCTACTTCTGCCACGTTACGCACCGGATAATGCCTAATCAATACAGAGAATTTAGTGACCGACAATTTACATCGTTCGCGCGTTAAATAGGCAATTGTCATTATAACTTCTACTTGCCCCAATGTTAACTCCTCTTCAATCGACCGGTCGCTATTCCAACTGTAATATACGTCTGTTTACGTGCAATTTTTTAGCAATCTATATCGACGTATAAATCGTTAAAAGCGATTGTAAAACGTATCGAGTGGCACTTGATTAATGATGTAGCAACCGTACACGTAAAAATTACAGCACATCAATTAATGTAAAACTGTAAATTGGACTTTTTCCCATTGGAAACACTGTAAAAATGGATTCACTGTTTTCGCTGTTCGAATATAATCCGAATTTTGCGGCATTAAATGAAATTGCCGGACACAGATGGAAACGCGATGTATCGTCACGTATTATGCGGTGTCTAATTTCTCAAACGAAGCGACGTCGCAAACCGGCAAGAAATCCCCTGAATTTTCGCGAACATGATATTCGCGCTCCCGGAGAACCCTCAGCGAGGATATACGCGGATTCCATTTAAGCGAGTAGAAAATGATCGGGTCGGTGAAATGAGAAATTGTCTAAATTGGAGGAACAAAATTTGGTGATTTAATTTAAAAAATATTATACACGTTATCGTTCCAAAATTTGAACCATCATACTTAAAATATCGAATTCGTGAACTCTTAATGTTTGCAGAGTATTTATTTATTGTTAATGCAATTTGTACAAAATATGACGAGTTCAAGTGAAAAGCATAACTTTACGAGCTGGAGCAACGTCCCCAAAGTTTTGTGTTCGATAATCCTAGTGTATTTCAAAGAAGCGCGTGAACTCGGCCACTCGACTAATCAAATTACGAAACTAACTCATTTGCGTTAATTGAAACAGCGAAGCGGCACGATGTGAAGCAACGGTACGGGATGCCGCGACGGCGAGACTAGCCAGAGTCACGAATTCAATCGTATCGAGACTGGGAGAAAGATTATTTAATTAATTGGCTATCCTTTGAACCAGTTCCGCAGTGAACAGATCTCTAACGTCGCAAGGATTTTGGCAGCGATAATTCTTCGTCCATTAACGAACTGAGAAGGTTTTACTTTATTTGCCAATGAGAATGATAACAATATTCTGACGCAGCACACTAAATTTCTGCATGACACATACGCATAAGTACATCCGTCATCCTCGAAAACATAAATGAGAAAAAACTGTTCGATCGGAGAATACTTGCGAAAACGTCGTTAATCATAACAATGGTGAACCGATATTGATAGGAGCATTCGTAGAAAGCCGACAGCTGGCAGATTAATTATTATTGGTATTAGTTATCTAGTCTATTCGAGTGTTACGGTAATTCGAGGCGTTTGTTACTGTTAGAGTCGTATGCATAATTCATATGTTATGCAAATCGGAATCGGTGCAACGCAACGAGGCGCGCCGCGCCGTATGAACGGGTTACGTGAAAAATACGCTAATGCGTGGCCGGAGATATGCAGGCGTCGCTCGAGAATGAGCAAAAGTATGTAATTTATTCCAAACATGGGTGCAGATTTAAATGGCCGCGTATTTGTGCAATTAGTCTTCGAAACTGTCGTCCCATTAATCTTTATCCATTCTTTTTCCATCGTCCTCATTTTTATATTCATTCTTCATTAATGCTTTACAAACAACAATTTGGGTATTCGGACTACACGCTGTGCGCGCATAATTGTCACGCAGAGAATTATTTCCGAACGATATGTTATTGTGTGAATAAAGTCCACGATTCGTTGTAACGATATTTACGGTGTTAAAGAATGACTGGGAAGGGTACGGCTTTGCATATTAAGATATATGTATGTACAGGTCGGAACGTCAGTTGCAAATAATTTCAAGCTTAAATGCAACCGTTCTTCTGAAAATATTCAAGGAATGAACCTCCAATTTTAATGGAATTTGAGAAAGTTAAGCGTATAATCTCCTTTCTTCCCGGTTTCAAAACTTCCCAAGTTAATTTGAGAAGTGCCACTGACCCCGAGTAACAAACCATCAACGATGAACGCTTCGCTCAATAAACACGCATACACGTGTAATATAGTATCGCGTAACAATTACGAACACCGCTCCAAGTAATTAGTAGTTCACCGACTTCCATAACTTTATCGTTCGATCCAATGCCTTCATATACAAGATGTTCCTTTTTATTCAGTTTCTATTATTTGCCATAGAAACTTCTGAAATGTCACGATATTCCTGGATACTCGAAACCCAATATAGCACGTTTCATCTTACAAAGGTATAAATAAAGTGCTTCAGTTTGCGTAGAAATGTGGCGATTTAATATTCGCTTCAGTTTGTAACAAGTTTGTCAACTGATAGCGAAATGGCGAACGCAAAGAGACAGGGGAAAAAAGAGAATAAATTGAAAAAATAGAGGAAAACTGACAACGTTGGTGGAAGACAAAGACGAAGGAAAGGGTGAGAAGACGGTTCATCGTTCCCCGGGAGCGTAGTAAATCGGCCGAGTGCAACGAGAGACAGAGACTGTGAGTCATCAATATTAACTTTACGCACGTACGTACGTACGTGTACATGTATATACACGTATACACGTGGTATCACGCGGCCGCGGCCGTCACCACTACAATTCCATTCATAAACGTAAAGGCCAACTTACGCACACCGAAGCGAACACGTGTGCCTATTAGAGGACCGTATGTAAATGCGCACACGTGCACCCGCGCACGTGTTGTACCTTGCTGCATGGCCTCTATTCTCTTCTATCCTCTTCCGTCTAGAGAGAGAGAGAGAGAGAGAGAAAGGAAGAGAGAGAGAGATATGTTTGATAATTTCATTCAAATACAACATTTCGTACTTTATGTACTTTCAAACATACAAATATTTGCAGATTTTAATTTACACTTGTGAAACGTAGAACTGGATTAGCGAAATTCATGAGAAAAACTTGCTGCGTGTATTAATTTACTTTAGCAAATTTCACCTCCTATGTTTAAATTGTTTTAAGAAGAAAATTTTAAATGATAGTACCCAATTTTAAATTAACCGACACGACGCGTTGAGGGGTATTTAAAATTGGAAGAAGAAACGTTTTTTAATCTTTCTAAAATTTATATTTCGTTTATATGCACGAGTCCTTTGTTTGAACAAGCAATTTTCGTTTGTTCACCTAACCGAACTTTCTAAAAATACTAAAGTAAACTTAATATTGCAATGTTTCATGAAATATCTTTCTCAATTTTTCTTTCAATAAATGAATTAGTTTCATATTTCATTGTCGCGTGGAAATTAATAATTATTTTCAAAGAATTCGATACAACTTATTTTTAACTCTAATAATTATTAATAATTATGTTATGACTATAACAATTATAAATATGAGTACAATCAGTTACGTCAGAAAGATATGTATGTATGTATGCAGAAAAGTAAGAGTACTCGCATGAATGTATGTAAATATACATACAGGTAAGAGGCAAGCAAATGGGCCGCTCTCTCGTGAACGGGAGACCGAAGAAAATACATAACCCTCTATTTTATGTGT